ACCTGGGAGACAGGTAGAGCGTAATGAGCAGGGACCCACACCTCAGGGGTATGCATGTGTGAAAACACTTGGGAGGAGCTTTTTCACCCACATATGCATTAGTGGACTGTAGGAAGCAGCAGAGGTCCACGTGAAGCTGAAGCACCACGTATTCCCCCCAGAGGTTAGGAAACCTGCACTCCCTGAGGAGGGGATACGCTGGTAACCCACACTGATGTGTGGGGCTGTGCCTGAAGCGCTGTGTAAGAGTGTGTGTGTGTGTGTGTGTGTGTGTGTGTGCGTGTGTGTGTGCGCGCGCACACATGCAGGGGAGGGGCAGATTACAACTTGTAAGAGTTAACAATAGAAGAATGCTTAGAAAAGTTTAGGTGTTTATTAAATTTCATAGGTGGGTAGTTTCATGGTTTATCTATTCCGTTATTGATATTGATCCTAAATGCATAGTTCACTCATTGCTGGTTAATGACATGTCAATAACAACTTAATAAACCACCTTGATTATTATTTGATTTGAACTGTATGCACTGAGCAGTGTTTTACTGTGACAGTCCGCCACAGAAAACTCTCAGATTTGGATACAAAGTCATCCTCCTGAATACCATTTCTCTGTTCTGTTCTGTTTTTTACTCTTTGGATTTTAGTTAATTCTTCTCTTTAATTCTTCTTCTACTGTGCATTGCTCCCATTTCTTAAACCAAATAATCCAATTAGAAATTTATTCAAATATAAAATACATACAGTATGTAGGTAAATATGGGATGAACAAAGCCTCATGTGCCATGTACACATCACCCTTTCCAAAGTAGCCAAGGGTGTGAGACTTCCTTTATCTTCTAGCAGCTCTATAGGATTTGTTTTACTGAGGCATGTGCTTGGTCGAATTGATGGCAAGCACTTCTCTTTCTTCCACCGTGCACAAGGTGCTAATTTAATGATGACTAATACTCCAAATTGAAAATGAGAGGTAGTTCTCTAGTTTAGCAGACTTTTTAACTCTTACACAATCAAGGTGTTAAAATGGCTATCTCTGACTGGATCTGCTTAGGGCAGCCATGAGCCAAAGCAGTGCAATGGTACAAGATTCACGTGTCCTAGGAGATGGTGAGAACAGTAGTCATGGTGGTGCAGCATTCCTTTCCACTTTGGTTATCACCAGTAGTTTACTTTTCTTCTGCATCTCATTTTGAAGGACCCCGGAGAGATTAAGGATTTGAATCTTGTCTTTATTTTAGGCCTAATTGTCTACAGATTTGTTCCAGTCTGTTGATTTCCAGTTCTGTTCTCCTTTACTTGTAACAGCTGACTGTAAAGCAGTCTGTTGTGGTACCAATGTATCTTATGTATGGGTAAATCCAGGCATTCAGTCCTTACTTTTTGCTAAATTTCAGAAATTAGTTTATACAAAAGGAAGAAATTTGCTAAAGTCTTAAAAGTACCGGCCATCACTCAAATGGTTCCTAAGCAACTTAGATGTATTTCAAAATGTTACTCAGACTAATTAAGTTAGAAAAGGTTTGGCTCATACAGAGTATATTTGTCTGACACTGCCTTAATTGGTTACGATGAATGGACAGGATGGTTTGAATAATAGAATGAAAGGCAATATATAAAGCTATTGCTACCTAGTGATGAAACGCCCAATGACTTTTTCCTCCCCTATTTATGAATAAAGGCTTTTCTTATGCAGTTTCTTTTGCTCTTTGGTGATCAGATCATACTTAGAAAAGATCAAGCCATTAATATTTTTCACTACCTAACTCTCTGACTCTTAGATGGCATATGAATCCATTTGCCCAAGTAGAGAAAATGATAGCAGTGTGGTGCTCCTCTAATATTGCAAATGTTATGAACTGGGTGATGCCATCTGGCAACAAGACCTAGATCTGTAAAGTTAGGTCATTCGTTTGTTAAACTGGTAGTTTGTAAAATTTGATGTGATTTCTCTTACTTTTCTCTTAGTCACTAATATGATACTTGTAAATGACTAAATGTCCTTGAAGTAATTAAAATGTAAATTAAGAGGAGTAATATCTCTGCCAGGAAGAACCAGAGGCCTATTGGGTAACTATTTTTTCCCTTAGATCTGTAATTTTTAAGAACTTATATTACTGAGCTTTTATGAAAAGGATAATTTTTGCTATTACCATGGATTCCACTAAACACACCAAGGTGATGGAAGTCAGGGAAATAAATTCAGCTAGTTAATCCATTTAAAAATCTAGATGTGTCAACCTCTGTATTAAAATGATAATTTATATAATTTGCAGTTTAGTAATTTCGTGTTTTAAGTGAGTGAGTCATATTTCAATTACTTGAAGTCAGTCTACCAAACTATAACAAAATTTATCCTAAGCTGAAAAGTGATTACAGAATAACTTATAGTGGATTCCTTATCTCTTTAAAAATGATTGTTACATATAAGGACACATACAAACTGATATTAAAATAACTATCCAGTTGCCTGCCTGGAACTCTAAATGCCCTAAAATGCTTAAATACTCTTATGCTGCTTTTGTAGCATAAGAGAAAGTAAAGTGGCACAAAAGAAGTGGATCTGTAGGTTGAAATGATTGGCATTGAGGACCTGATGTCTGCAATTTACCTGTTTTAGGAGGGGTCTACTTTGGACTAAATGTGGTCTGGTCCCACAGGACTGCTATGAGCAAGCAGAATGTAGGAACCATGCTCCTAGATCATATCTTCTGGCAAAGCAGAGATTAGCAGGAGATTCACTACAAAAGTGCACTGTGCTCTGAGCTAAAGCTCTCACGCAGTTGCATCCTTAGGTTCTCAATGACACAGTTAAATGAGCACTTTGCTAGCCCAGGTTATGTTCTTCACTCAGGTCGGGGAGCTGAGAGACCCTCTGTTAGGCCTTTCTCTAAAGGATGTTTTTCAAATCATACTGAGAAAGCCTCAAGTATCCCCATGGAACAGAGGAAGATGCTGGAGATCCTGGAAGTCTTCACAAGCCCTGTCAGATGCCACTCTAAAATACTAAGGGTCTAGTCCAACATACAAGAATGTGCTATCCTCAAATACTTTTGCAAAACTTACTTGATTTTATAGCTACCATTGGGAGTCTGGGGAGTAATGGCATTGGAAAAAATGCAAAGTTTTCAGTTGTGTCCTTTCTAAAGTGCTGTCTTTGGTTATACAAAATTTCCAGGAATTTGTTATATTTTGGAGAAGGTTGGCTGGCATATCCTTGCCATTAAGTACTAAACGATTCCATTGGAATTATTTCTATATTTAAATTAGATATGTGCTTAAGAATCTTTCTATCTTGGAAGTTCTGGGGTTTTAGAATAATTTTTATAGATATAAAATATCACAACATTTGCCTGATTTTATTCTTATTTACATTTTTTTTTCAAAATTGATGCTTTCAAATATGCCATAACTGTACTAATAGAAAAGTTAAACTTTCCGTATGATTAATATGACATTTTTAGCAATCAGACAACCACTCTACTTGTGATTAGACTATAATTTAGATATTTACGTGTGTCCTTTCTTGTCTAAGAATTAGAGAATTTATGTTTGGATAGCTAATCTACACAGTTGAATTTAATGACAGTTATTAAAAGAAAAGAGAGAGACTGTAACATGGAAAAAGTTGGATTTTTGTTACCATCGAAATAATATCAGAATAAAGTATTTTTCTTTGACTTGAGAACTGAAAGTCATTTTGCAGCAGATTGTTCTTCACAGAATTTAAGACAAATCAATGGACTGTAGCAATGAATATCAGCCTACTAAAATATATATGTGCATTTGAGTGTGTAAGTAAACTTTTCCACCCTGGAAATAACAATACATGTTTAAAATACAGATATTACCTGCACTTATTATTCAGTAGCCTACAGTACTAAGTTCTCAGTAAAATTATGCATGCACTCAGCCCTTCATTGTTTTTCTTAACCAGCTCATGACAGAATTTTAAATAACTAAAGGCAATTTTCTGAATTCACTGTCTGGGAGGTGAGGTGAGAGTAAGGGCAGTGCACATATAACAAGTTAGCAGGTATTTCCAGGATTCCTTTCACAATCTAATAATGGTAATTTATACCAGGCAGAATGAGTTTTAATTGAACATCTTTCAAGCTGCAGTGCATAGAGTAGTTTGGATTAATGTTAGTAAATGTGGAGAGCTTAATGCTCAGTTTCAGAGCATGCAATAAGATCCTGTTTTATCAACATGCCAGACTGAAGCTTAAAGCATATCTGACATATTTACATATTCATGTTACATTGTTACTGTGCAGATTCTGCAACGTCACATTGGGACAGCATGGCAAGAAAATGTAAAAGTAAGTTAGCATTAGAGCCGTTCAGAATCTCCAATTTTTTTCCAGTTGTCTTTATTCATAGATAGCTTTTTAGGCCAGAAGTTGGGACAATAACTAATCAAATTGAACTGTTGCCTGCTCAGAATTTACTGTTTTGTTTAGAGCACTTTAGTTTCAGGTCTATACTTCTCATATATAAACTAAATTGTGGCACGATTTGTAATTACTTCTTTCGGCGTGCGGTTCAGGTTGGCAGAATTATGGATGCCTAATCGAGAGAAAAGAGAAAGAAGAGTTTTGGAGGTGTTCACTCCAGCACAGCTACTGAACCCACAGACATTTCAATGGCAAGGTTCTACACCTCTAATATCCATATTCATTCTAGTGCATTTATAAAAGTGGCCACTTTTCTATGTTGTCATTGGGTTCCCCTTTTTCCAAGCAGGTTGATTGTTTCAAAATCCATGTTGTATTCAGACTTTTTCCTCATGACCTTAGGAAAGTTGTGCTATATTGTGATATATTTAAATACTGTGTGAATGTCATCCCTTGATTTATTTTCAGTGAGTGTATAAAGGAATGTATTACTGTTGTGCTTACGCTTCTTTATGTAAAAGCATAGAGAAATACAGACACACGTACTATGTGTATATATGTACATATGGTTGAATATATATATTTCATTGAGTCTACCAAGAACAATAATATTTGGTTGGTATAGTATCCTACCTTAAATCAATGAAAGTTTGTTGTTTTCCACTGCAATAGACAAGGCAAGACTCCTCGATCCTGAGAAGTGCAGTACCTGGGAAAACAATATGCTCTCTTGTACTGTTAGTTAATGCCAAGCACATACTATTCTGGTCATAGGAAAGAGTGGCCCTGGACTGTGGTTTGGCTCCCTTTCACTGTGACAGACATCTTCCTGCTTCATTCTTAGTTTGTCCAAAGCACATAAGAAGAGTACGTCCCACAGCTACCTTCTTACTGCAGAATGAAAGGTAAACGGAGGCACAAACATGATTAGCATTGATTAATCTGCATTTTAGAGGATAAACATAATTCTCTAATTCTCTCAGTAACTATATAATTTGTATAATAATAAGCCTACCATTATATATCCTTAGTTTATTATGTGATTTAATATGAACAATTCTAGGAACAATGAATACCTAGTTTTCATTTTAAATTATTAATTGCAAAAGAACCGAATTACTTTATTTCAGTCTACAACTCTTGTTTTTATTTCTTTCAACTCCAAAATATTAGAGCAGAAAATGTTACTATCTAGTTTCTTCTGATTTCAAAATTTATGTGACAATAAATTCAATTGATCCATTTTTTCTTTACTTTTCTGGAGAAAACATGCACAGACCTGAACAAGTAGCAGCTTTAGACTGAGAAAATAGTAGTTTTAACTCAGTTTTAAAACTTTAAAATAATAATTAATCTCTAAATAATATTTTTAAAATTTCTCTTATATCTTCAATTTTAGAAAACACTTTTTCTGAAAGCAAGTAATTATAAGCATTGTGCTTCTCCCCTCTCTGCTTTTTTTTAGATAAAATACATTTATGGCCAAATCTTTATAACAAATATTTCAAGGATAGATACACTCCTCAGCTGCCAGTAGCACTGTCAAAACAATGGCTTGTCTTCTGTCTCCTTTACCACTTTGAGCTTCCATTTGTCTTGAATTTCTGTAAGAAGTGCATCATTTTTGAAAGCGAATCTTCCTATCTTCGTGTATCATGAAGTCTGCGGTGTAGGGGGAAGTATATGTATATATGCATGTTCTTTCCTGTTTCCAACTCTGCTGCAGTCAATTATATTGACATCAAAATGGGCTGCGGAACTGTTTTGTTCAGTGCTGAGAAAGAGCAGAAACCTGAAATTAATGGATAACCTTTTAACAGCACAAAGAATAAAGCTATACAAGGTGACTATTCTATGGTAACCATACTGCTATATTATGGGGGTCATTTCTCAATGGCAGGGATTATGTTTGTTCAAAGTAAATGTTTTCTCCTCTGAGCCATGATTTCTTTTGTGGGCAATAACTGCAGCAAGCATAATGTTTGCTCTCTCCATTGTACTTTATAACAGATGATAACATACAATGAGTGTTCCTCAAAAAAAAAAAAAGTTATTGTTTTAGTAACAGTCTGTTCTTCATTCTGGTATGTAGCATTTGCTAAACACACCCAGGAGTTTCCAGGAAAATATTTTTAAAACTGCGTTTCAGTTCTGCAATGCTTTCCATCGACTGTAGTGGGAGTCACAAAGCTAAATTCCTGTGCATTCCTTCAAAAGTTTAGGGGCAGATGTCATGCCGCAGGGAACAAAAATAGCTGTCGCTGGCCTAAGGAGATTTCGTCAATGCTATAGTGTTGGTGACAAATCTAAATATCTGAAGAAACTGGCACATTCCTTTTTTGCTGGCAACAATTTGACAAATTTGACTTACTGTTTCACTCTTGATCATCTGTAGCCTTTCCTAATTCTCTGAAGCTTATAACACACAGATACCACTCATAACGATTGTTTTCTTTCTCTCAAAATATTCACACCAGCAGGTATCACTGAAATAAATATTTTCTCACAGGCTTTTGATGACATTGCCTGTTAGGTTAGGAGTGTAGGCAGACTCCTTAACTCATTTTCATTCATAAATATGAATTATTGTAGACTGTCAAATATTATTCTCCATCTATTCCAGGAACTATGATCTCTGGGGGTAACCTAGATACTTTTTGGTTTTCATTAACATTCTTTGTGATTTTTTAAGCAATAATGATCAAGGTTTGGGTCAATTCTGAAGGACTAATGATTAACTGGAAGGAGCTGAACAGAAGGCATAACTCTAAACCAGGTAGTCACTGCTCCACAGAGAATACAGCCATAAGCCATTAAAAAAACAAAACAAAATACCCCCCCCCTCCTGCTTCCCCCACCCCCCCAAAAAAAAAAGGAAAGAAGCATGTTTTGTTACAAGAGTCAGAGTTGCTAAATTTGAAACTAAGTTTGAAATAAAACTGGTAAATTTGAAATATCATATAAACTAAACTATGATATGAAATATCATGTAAGTCTAAATTGTTGGATATGTTTGACGTTTCATTTATCTGTCTTAGCAAATCTCACTAATATTAGCTATTAATTACTTTTGAAATTGGTGTACATTAAATGTATACTTTCTGCGTAAACCGCATATGGAAAAGTGTGGGTGAAAATACAGTAAAAAGCAGCTGCTGCAAAAGAAACATAAGAGAAGAAATGTGAACTCTTTATGTATACAGTAGTAACAATTTAATGGAAAAACCCAAAACAGTTGAAAGGTAATTTTTCCCCTATGCAAAAAATCTATGCAAAACCCTTTTATATGCAAAAATCAAGTCAACTTATTTTTATAAGGCATGTTTCATGTAAAGTACCTCAAAATTCTCCATAGTGAAAGATCAAATAATGAGATGGCACTCGTGGAAACAGCCTCAGTGAGTTTTATAAAGATGACAAGCCAAAATAAATGAAATTGAACCCACTTGAACAGCATGAACATGAACTTTTCCAATAACATTGAAGGTAAGCTTTGATTTACACTGTGAATCTTGTTCCTTTAACTCTGATTGGGTAAAGATTAGTGTTTTAGTCCTATTTAAGATTAATTGCTGTTTTTTGGGTTTTATTTTGTTTTGTTTTGTTTTGTTTTTTAATATATACACATTTACTTTGCTATTTCCATTTACCTTTTCACGTGTTTTGTTTATAACAGAAATCCCTTCTAGTCATTGTGTTGTTAAAGATGTAATAAAAAGAGAAGAAAAAAATAACTACATCACTGATTAAATTAGTTCTGATCTAAGTATTTATATCAGGTAATTCTACTATTCTGCTCTACTAGATTATAAAATAAGGCATTTGATTTTACCTAAGTAATTAAAAGGGAAAACAAACAATCTTACAATGCAATTATTAATTATGTTCTACAACATTTAATAAACATCAATTATTTGTAACGGTGCGCTGCTGCAACTTCTCATATTGTCTTTGTAAAGACTTTGAAAAATAAAATCAATTTTTTCTTCCTGTTTTCTTTTGAGAGAAGAAGGGGATAGATTACAGTATATGAATAGACCAATATCCCACTCTCATCTATAAATCTGTTTTTGAAAATATCCTGTGAATCCAAGCAGCACATACAAAGAATTTCACGTGCCTTAGTGACCAGACATGCTTTGACTGACCTTCTCTGAAAGATTTCTTGTACAGTGTTTCTTTGCCATGTATATTCCTATTGAATTGTTGAACAAGTAGTTGATAGGCAATCCTGCCTTCCCATCCATTTAGAAGGCATAATTCAGATCCAAAAATCTGCAAAAATCTTATATTTCTTTTCATAATTCAGACCCCAAAAAATTATGGGTACCTTCAATGTTTCTATTTTACCTTTTTGCCTTTTACATTTTGAATTATATTTCACAATTTAAAATTTTAATTGTATTTTGCCTGCAGTTCTGAGAATTAAAAACTTTTGTGAAAGTGGAACCTGAGGTAACTGCATTACTCCAGTCATAAGAATAATATCCCTCAAAATAGCCTATATATGTTAGATGTGCTTTCCAGTCTTTACTGGGATGTTCTCTTTAAACATGACTTTCAATCCCAAATAATTATATATTTATAAGGATGACCAGTTTGTGATTAATCTATAGTATGGAATGAAATCATCCATTGACAACTGATCACATATTTTGTGTTAGGGAAGAGCTTCAACATATTTCTAAATAACACAAACAGGTAAGTAACTGGTATAACTACTCTTCTTAAAGGTATAACTTATACCTGTCTTACATACTAGGAAATTTATTATTAATTTACTTATAAGAAGCTCATAACTTTTACAAATAAACTTGACTTTACAGATGAGATATCATTTTTATTTGTTTGTTTATTTTAATTAAAGAATCAACAGAAATGCAGAGGTGATAGTTGTGGATGACTAGAGTATACATTATACATTTATTGTGACTCTGATGACTGAAGAAATTAGATGTCAATATTTACCAGTCTCATTTGTTGATCTAGTAATTGATTAGAAGACTTGGAGGTAGAGTATATATTTGCCAAAGAGAATGAACTATGTCATTTCATGAAGCAGGTAGTTAGACAGAGGTATGGGGGAAACAATAAAACTGTAAAGAGATTGTTATCAGATAAAACACAACTGCATACCCACAGTATTCAGTCATGGAAGATCTCTAAAGCTCGTGAAGGTGAATGTTTATGACTGCTTTTATAGTCGCTCATTTTCTTTCTGTTGCAATATGGACAGCATTATGTTTAATTTTGAAAACAATCAATTCTAAAAGATTACTTTGATTGCATTACATTACATTACCTTAAATTACAATAATCTTTCTGTGATGAGTTATGATGAATAGTGTCCACTGTTTGATACTCTGTGCTATTTCCCACCAGCAGTCTGTGGGAAACTGCCTTGTTGCTATGTCTCAGGATAATGTTAGTCCTTACCTGAAAGCAACTGACTGTAGTCAGCTGGATGAAGTTTCTGCTGGATAAGCAGCATGAGAGAGACTAAGAAAGTAAGAAGCTTAAACTATCAGCAAAATTCCTGTGATACCTCTGAGAATTGCAAGAAATGGATGTGCAGACAGGACTCAAATGCAATGGTAAGAAAGATACTTTTCATAGACATCAATTGGAAATTCAAACCAAAAGCAAGACTGCAGAAAAGAGCTAGACCTGTCAGAACACAAATTATTGGGGAGGTTTCTTTATGAAACTTTTTTACTTAAATTTTTCTAACATACTTTTTAGCAGGGCTGTTCCACTTGAAAAAGTTCCAGATTTGAGTCTGTACTTTATTAAAGCCTAGTTTTAGCATTTATAAGCTTTTGTGTGGCTCCTATTATATTCACCTTAAGCAAAAAGGAAAGGGTAGATCTATCTAAAAGCTCTGTCTGACTCAAGATCACATTACAGATGCCTTTAAAACCATTTCTGATTCAGATGTAAAGACTAAAATAAAACACTTGGACATGCATTCCTGACTTCTAAATATGACATGGTTTTGTAAACATGGATTTACCTTAGCAAATTATGATGAACTACCTGAGTTTAGATCAAAACTAAAGTACATTTGGCAATGTTTTGAATAGTTATTTACCAAAAAATACAACTGATACTCTACTTTTGTGTCAAACTGCCCTGAAATGATGAAAAATTGAAAATCAAATACATTTAATTCCAAATGAAATACTTTCATTTTCATTTCAAAGAAACGTTTCCAGACTATATTTACATACCTTTAAAAAAAGAGAAAAACCGGTCTTTGGTTTCAGTTTGAGCTGTTCGTTGCTTGATCCTAAATGCTGTGGGGTTTTGGGTTTGGGCCACTGAATTTGAAAGTCAGTTGCTCAGCTGTAATGAGCAGGTTTCTATATCTTTATGTAAGAATACAGCTATTTCGATTTTATTAATTAATTTTACTGAAGTTAGGTCTCTCCTGAATAGCAATATATCAGAAACAACTGTCACTAGAACACTTGATTAAAATTAAATGTTCAGAATTTTGCAGTTTGCCAGAATAAAAAATACTTGTGCAACGAGCATTTTTGCTCTTGTATTTTGAGTGGTAGGGAAATATATGCAGAGAAAGGAAGCAAAGGAGATTGTGCTAGGATCCTGACTGCTGGCACATTTATAATGTTATTTGTTTGTTTACAGGTTTCAGTGGCAGTCTATTTACTTTACTTCAGATAGCTTATGCCATTTGCCAAATAGGTCAACAACTTCAACATGAACACATTTTTTGAAATACCTGTAAATCTAAAGTTTTGAAAGCAACTT